TAAGTGTTCCAAAACAAGACATTTTATGCTACATGTCTAAATAATAATTGGTATTTTTATGCCATATAATGCTCCAAAAAATAAGCAATATTTTATGCCAAGCATATAATGTCTAAATTAAAAAAAAATACTAGATATTTTATGCTAGTATTTAAAAAATGCTACCACTTTATGTTAGTGTTTAAAAAATGCTAACACATAATGCTATATGCTGGCATGTTATGCTATATACTAGCATGTTATGCCATATGCTGACATGTTATACTATATACTGACATATTATATCAGATGCTAACACATTATGCCAGATGCTGACATGTTATGCCAGATGCTAGCACATCATGCCAGTATCTAAAAAGTGCTGCCACTTTGTAATAGAATAAAGATAAACCTAATATAAGCTTCTTATACTAACTAGTCTTATATAATTTGGTAATAACAAAGTTAAATTTAATATTTGTTACTCAATCACTAGGAGTATAGGTTATGATTAGAGTTGTTAGATGTAATTATTTTGTAAATAATAAAAGATAAAACATAAACCTAACAAAAATAAAAGACAAAACTCTCTGATAAAATAGCAAAACTTTGGTGAAATAGCGAAACTCTGGCAAAATAGCAAAACCCTAGCAAAATAATGAAACATTAACAAAATAGCAAAATCTTGACAAAATGATATAATCTTTACAAAATGGTGAAACTTCTGATAAAAGATAAAACCTGGCAAAAAGTGAAACCATAAACAAAAGTTAGAACTTTTAGTAAAAATTATTATATGAAAGAGTTTTAATTTTTTTATTATTTTTACAAGTTTTTTGACTTTACTATTTTTGTTATCTTTCACAAAATTCACTAACTTTTGCCAAATTTACTAAGTTTTACTAGTTTGTCATCTTTCATCAATTTCACCATTTTGCTAATTTAATTTTTTTTGATGAAAGTCAAAACCAGTTTGGCATTTATGATAGTAAAACCTTCTAAATTTCACCTAACAACTCAAATATAATATTAGATATATACTATGTAGTTGTATATAAAAATTTAAAGTTGAACAACTGAACAAGTAAAAATAGAAAAGTTGATAATTACATGAAAAAGTTTCAACTTTATTTTTATTATTTTTTTAAGTTTTCTGATTTTACTATTTTCACCAATTTTATCAACTTTTATCAATTTCATCAACTTTGCCAATTTTGCTGACTTTTGTCAATTTTATCACCTTTTGCTAATTTAATTTTTTTTGATGAAAGTCAAAATCAGTTTCATCTTTCATAATAGTAAAACCCTCTGAATTTTATCTAACAACTCTAGTTGTAATCTCATGACAAATAAATGCTCTGTGACTTTGTTTAAAGCATCTTATATTTTATAATTTGATAATATGCCATAATGTTGACATATGTCATAATATTTAACTCATCCTATAATTTCAGACATGTCATAATTAGGATTGAAAATTACATTTTACAATATTACATTTCACGTAATTTTGTGTAAATTTCAGTAACATAAATTACATATAAATTTCATTTTATATAATATAAAGTACTAGCATTATAAAAGTTTAGCTAGCATTATCGAATTATGCAAATATTAACTACCACTACTCTATGATTATATATTTTATGCATCTATATTATAATTTCTGCATCAATATGCACAAACTCCAGATAAAGCTTGCCAATATACTCATGTGATTTAGCTAAATTTAGCTAATTATATAAACTACAAATTTCATAAAAACTATGTTACTATAAACTTACACAAAATTATACAAAATTATATAAAATTATAGTAATTTTACAACTCTAGTCATAATATTCAAAAATATTCTTTTTGAAGGTTTTTTCCTGATCTTCAATTGTTGTCCTGATTAGGAATAGTAAATACTTTTATAAAAAGATAAATTATTGCCAATCAAATCTTATTATTTATTATATAATAATTTTTGAATAAATAGAATAATTGATAAAAATTTTCAATTTGATAGTGGAAGCATTCTCTATTCCTGGCCCTTGTATGATTTTTGTCTTCTAGTATAACTCAAACCAGCTATCTTGTAATTGAAACTTATCTTAGCAGTAATCTAAATTATTAATTGATAAATTAATTGTCTAAATTAATTTGTAAAGACTAATTAATTAATAAGTATTATATATATATTACTTATATCTAGCAAAGTTTTAGAAGTGTATCAACTTTATTGTATTTGTAAACTAGAAATTTTTTACTGAAGATTCAAATGCAGAATGATAGTTAAACCCTAATTAATATTTAATGATTTTAATAAATTAATTAATACAGGGCAACAGTTAAATTCTGCTTAACATTTAATAATTTTAACAAATTAATTAATATAGGGTAACAGTTAAACTCTACTTAATATTTATTAATTAATAAATTAATATTTTTTCATTGTTTGATAATTATACTCTTTTTAAAACAATAACATCAGTGCAGTATAATTATTATAATTTAAAAGTAATTTGTGACTAACCATTTATTAACTTCTGCCCTGTATAATTTAATATGCTAGTATCAATTAGTACATAGTGTTTATAAACATAAATTTTTAATTAAAATATACTATTACAAATTATACTAAATAAAGCAAAGGATAATCTTTTAATATTATTAACTGTTTTTTAACAAATTAAATAGTTAAAATTAATCATTATTTTATAACTTATGAGTAATCCATAATCTGTCTTATAAATTGTTACATTGCAAAAACAGTTATAATGTATATACTTATTTCGTATTTATCATAAATTTTGAAATTATTATTTTTTGTTAAAGGTTCTTTTTAGATTTTATCTTTTATTTTATATGCATTCTGATCTTTGACTCTGTACATATTTATAATTATTTTTTTTGCTTTATAAGACAGACTATAAGACATTCTACTAGTAATAACCCAACAATAGATAACTATTCATATTTTATACTTAAAAGTATTAATATATAATTTTAAAGTTAAATTTTATGATGTATACAACAATTGTCAGTTTAGTATAATAATTCATTGCATAAAGGTTATAGATCACTTGCAAGTTATAGGTGATCAATAAGACACTTTATAAAAATAGCCAGACAATGAATAGGAATAATTGTATTTATGCTTGAAAGCACTCTTAAAAATATGATCAGACTTATTTTGTAAATTCTAGTTTATTTTGATATATTATTAATATTAAATAATAAAATTTGATATAATCTTTAATGATAATAAAAAGGAAGTAAATTAACAATCATCTTATCTTTAATATTTGAATAAATTAAATTAATTGAATAATGCAAGTACTTTTTGAGTTTATGATTCACAGAGTTTATTAGAGTCTAATTAGTAATTAGAGTTTAGACACATACTATTAAAAATGGTGCCTGTACCTGTATTTGGTACTATGTTTTAATAATGCCTATGCTTGGCATTTGCAAACCCTATCTGTAATGTTTCTGAATAAATAATATATTAAATATCAAAATTAATAAAAAAAGTCTAGTAAACAATTTTATTAAATTAGTATTCATTAGATAAATATTAGAGCTAGATATAACTAAACTAAATGTCAAATTAAGGATTTAAAAAAATTATATAAATATCTGTAAATATGTTAGTAAAAAGAAAGAAAATCATCAACTCTTTCCAATAATCACCTCAACCAAGTTGGCACTGAAAGTAGATTGAAGACTCTGGCTCCAAAGTGAATAACATTCTTAGTTTTACATTAAATAAACTTGCTGTTAACAAAGCTCAAGTACATGATATACCAAGAAGCAAGTGAAACTTGAGTGATTCTTGTCTTGGGTTAAGCTTTTTGTCTGGTAGACTTCCTTGCATATTCAGCATCCAAACTGGAAGAATATTCTAAAAGAAAGTAGAGACAAAATTAGTTCTCTGATTAAGAATATTAGAAGCAAAAAAAAAAAAGAACAACTAAGAAAACTCTCCTTAACTTGAACTTTTGCAACAACAATATATCTCTTCTTCATCTTTTTTTTTTTTTGAAAAATAGAGATTTGGCTTATTTCTATCAAAAGATCAACATTGTGCATTACTTTCTTTTGTAGTTACATGCTTGTTTGGACATAGTGAATAAGGAACACAACAAACTCATGAGTCAGCCAATTATGTAGAGCAGATCGGAAAAGGATTTAATTTAGAAAGACCAAAAATATATTGAGATATGCATATATTCTGAGGCTATGTACATAATATTTTTTTAAAAAAGAGTTACAGGAGTTTATAAAGAATTGGACTGCTTAAGTGCACTCCAAACTTGGCACAGTATCTCACTTATTTGAAGATTTTTTCTATATAGAAAATGCCTAGCTCAAACTTCATCCTACAAGTGAATACAGTTTTCATTCTGGTTAAAAGTATCTAGTTTTTAGAGAATAGCCATAGTTCATAAAAATATGAAAACATTGTAGCGAGCAATAATTATAGAATAGAGTTTTATCTTGTTAGCAGGTTTTCTTCTTTATTCTTCTTATAGATTAGTTTTATTTTCTTTTTGTTTAATTTTATTTTATTTCCTATTTTCGTTTCTTCCTTTCTCAACTTTAAAATTATTTTTTTTTTTTTGTTTTTCTCTTCCCTATAAGAAAATGTCTTCAGATTGGCAGTGTCCTATTGTGAAGTAGAAGTCAGACAAGTTATAATTTCTAGTTCTAACTGGATTAGTGTGACAGGTCACATTTAGGTACTGTTTAGATGGCTGGATAATGATAGACTTATAAATTAAATAATATTTTGTATTTACATATGTAGCTACAAATGGTTTAATAAAGTACTACCATGACTGCTTAAAGGGAAAAAAAATTGTATACATTTTTTTTTATCTTCTTGCTTATATATTTTCTCTGTCTTGACTTACATCACTTATACTTTTACTTTATAGTGCTTTTTCTATATTCTTTCTTTATATTATTTTTTATTATATTTCATTATAGAAAATTTTCTAGTAATTCCCAATAGTTCCACTTTCAGTACCTCAATGCCTAATAATAATGAAGCAGTAGTAACTTCTAGTACCTTAACATCTAATAATAATGAAGTAATAGTAACTTCTAGTATCTCAACACCTAATAATAATGAGCAATAGTTATTGGTAATATGTATAATACTAGAGAGAATTGGATAGAGATAACAGATGATGATAATAAAAAATATTGGAAATGCATACATTGTCATAAAAAGACTTATGCAATAAAAACTAGTAGAACATATTTAAAAAATCATACTGTGATATGTTCTAATTTTCTACTAGGTGAAACTCTAAATAAAAAGTTCAAACTAGTTACTAAAGAAGACATAAATAATTCAATAATAGGCTTGGTTGTTGTGACAAAAATACCCTTCAATATACTTATTAATCTATTTTTTCTTAAAATGACTAAAAATCTTCACTATGCTATACATTTATATAAAATCACACATCTAACCATGATATCACAACACCTTATAGGTGATATATTTGACTTGAGATTAAATTTTGTTAAGAATATATTGGCCAAAACTTCTGGACAAATTTTACTTACCTGTGACAGATGACACTTAACTATTCATAAGTGCTATTATATTGTTATTATGAGATCCTGGGTTAGTAATAATTGGAGGATATTTAATATTGTTTTAAGTTTTTAAAAATCAGAACAAACAGTAGAAGAAATAACATTAGTAATAATAAGCATTTTAAAAAATTACTCTATTGAAAATAAAATATTGGCACTTACTATGGATAACACTGCTACTAATAAAGCAGTAAGTTGCTTGCTCCAAAATGAGTTGCCTAATAAAAAATTAATATTAATAGGTTATTATAATATTAAAATTTTTTTTATTAATGTTTTTTTATTAATTTTTTTTTATTATATGTTTTTTTTTAATGTTTTTTTTTTAATTTTTTTTTATCTGTTTAATTTTTTTTTTTTTTTTTTTTTTTTTAGAATATTTGTGTCTCAGTTTCAACCTTATTGTTAAAGAGAGTTTAAAAGAAATCAGTATATTATATAAAAAGGTTCATAAAATCATGAAATTTTTAGCTAATTCTCTAGCCAGTAGTAGGTTAAAAGTATTAGAATCATACTATAGAATTTCTGAAATAAGGTTTTTAAAGCCTATTCTTAAAATTGATACACATTAAAATTCTATGCTAGCAATGTTTGAGAGATATCTTTATTTGCATCTGGCAATTCAAGAGATGAGCTTTAAAGAACTATTAATGTCCACTTGCTTAGATGATGAAAGCTTGACAGTTCTCAAGTCCTTTTGTCAGCTCCTTAAACTATTTAAAATTGCCACATCAGTTCTTTTGAAAAACCAGTCAAATTCAATTTTCAATGCATTAATAGTTATATTAGAAATTGGATAGCACTTAACTAAATTTAGAGATAATAATATTAATAATAATTTAATAACCAAAAAATTTAAAAAATATTGAAAATCTATTCTTAAACATGTTATAATTGTTTATATTCTTGATCTATGATATAAGTTGGATCACTTGAAAGCAACATTAATTGAAGTTGATAGTTATAATGATCATGATACAAAAATGTTTGTTAATGATATTTACAAAAAACTTATTATATATAGAACAAAATATTCCAACACAAGTTCTTCAAATTATGTTGAAGTTATTAATAATAATAACAATAATAATCCTATGTATATATTCCTTAAAAGAAGAACTGCAAAAAGGCAAAAACAAATAAATACAATAGAATTTGGGTTAGAACTGTATAAAAATAAACTTTCTGAAAACTCAGATAATAATAATAAAATAGAAAAAAATAATAGGATAAAACTCTGGAAATCATTGTCATCAAGATTCATAATACTTAAAAAATGGCTCACAACTTTTTAAATATTAAACCTTTATCTGTTTCTAGTGAAAAAGTATTCTTAAAAGCTGGTTTCACAATCACTAGTAATAGGGCTAATATTTGCAAAAAAACTGTTTCATGCACAATACTCATGCACTCTTGGTTAATAAAAAGTCAAAATAAGCTTAGTCTTTTTAATTCTATTTCATAATTTTTTTGTTATATAGCATATAAGTTAATTGTACTACAGGTCAAGCTAAGAAGATCATTGTTATGTGACAGTGACATTTTTGGTGATAAGAATTATCATCATATAATAGTACTATTTTTAATAATAAGCTAAAAATCATTTACATATATATAATAGTATTATATATTTTTGGTTTTTTTTACTTTTTTATGTCAAGAATGTTAAAGAAAGTTGTTCTAAGTATATAGCCAAAATTTAATTATCATTATTATATAAATTAGATAAAATTTTGTACTTAGACTATACAAACTTAATAAATTAGTTTTTATAATCAGCTGGATCATTTTACTATTTGTGTAAGTTTTTCAAAAAAATTTATATGCATTTTATATATATAATTTTTTGAAAAGTCAAATTGCTAGATCACTTTTAAAATTTTTTATGTTATGAAAACCAATTTATTAAGTTTGTATTACTTTAATAGATTGAATCAAATTAATTAAAAGCAATGCAAATAATGTCAGTAAGTAATATACAAATTATTTACTTTAAAATTTTAACTTTAAAGTAAAATAAATAAAACTATAGCAATATTATAAGATGGTAATTAGACTCTTGTAGGTGTGTAATTTAACAAAATTTTATAGAAATTAAACTATGATAATTTTAATAATAATGAAACTTTTAACATAGTAACAGTAGGAAAAAGATGATCTAAGAACAATAACAAGTTATCCCTATTGAAATAATTAAGATTGTTTATAAAAATAGTTATTTAGTTTAAAAGCTCATAATAAACTTATGATACATCTAATACTTTTATATAGAAAAAAACTTTCTTTTCTGTTATTAATAATCACTTTGCTGTTCAAGAAAAAGCTTTATATAGAACTATAAAGGCATAAAGGTATATTACATACAGAGATAGTTATTTATACCTATAGCCATTTCATTGAATATTAATTGTTTTGGTACATGAAACTAACAATAAATATGCTAGGTATAAAAACTATAAGACAAAAGATTATAATAAGTTATCGAATCAATAATAGTCACAACTTTTAAGTTTTATTATTAATTTTTATTTTTTATTATTTGATCACTGCTTTACAATTAGCTTAACAATGTTCTAAAATTTGGCTTAACTTAGGCAATAATTTAAGATAATGTTCATGCTTTTATGATACTATATTTTGATATTAATATTGCCAAAAATTAGTTGAATTAAATAATTCAAATAGAATTTTTCAAACTGCTATTTAATACTTTTATAAAATTAGTGTAAAAAAAGACCTTTATAAAATATTAGAAATGAACCAAAAAGTAAATTATTTTGTAATTTAAATATTATAAAACTACTGTTAAGAATATAATTAACCTATATACAATTTCAAGCTTATTAGTTTAATTGGTAAACTTAACTAGCATAGTATATGACATGTGATCCCAATATAACAGCACAATAACAAATAATAAAAATAAAGATATCAATTATTGCATTAGAAAATTTCAATTTAAAGCTTTAAATATGAAGATACAAGCAGAAATTCTTAATTTAAATGATATTATTATTTGAAATTTGGTAATAACAAAGAAATACTTATAAACAACTTAGCTCAAATAATCTGAAATTGATTTGGTTTAGTTAGTTTTGAAATATTCTAGCTAATCAGTTTAGTGCACTACAATTAAATAAAATTCATTACATAAATTTTTTTCTGATTATGTGATATAATTCTAATAAACATCATTTCATTAGTTATTTTTAATTTAGAATAATATAATAAAACGATCTATGTCAATATCATACTACATGAACTGAAAATTTGTATACCAAATTTTACTCAGTTGTATACTATACATAAACAGGATATAAAAACTCTTAAGCAAATAAACTATTCATAAGCAATTTATAAGCAATTTTATGGTCACTGATTAAATCATCACTTTTTTAAAGAAAAACTTATATTTATAATTAAAATAAGTTAATAGTAGATATTTTCATTATTTCAGAAGATTTAATAGGACAATAATTACTAAAAAAATGCTAATAACTATAACTTCAGCATTATCATGACAAAATGTTAACTGAAAAAAATCTTTAGTCAGCATGATCCTGAAACTACTCTTGCTTTTTGGATCTTTAGAGAAATTTAGACTTTGTTTCTAAAATTTCAGATCATTATATAATTTATTATATGCTATATATAACAAACACATTTCTAACATTAGTTCTTTGAAAAAATGAAATACAAAGATAACAAAAAAGTTTGAGCATATTACTTTAATAAGTATTCATTGTTTCTTTTAATTATAAGTAAAAATCTACACTAATTCATTTTCTTATTTATTTATTTAAATGTTCCACAAGCTTTGTCTTTAAAATGCATATATGCATTTTTAATTCATTAGTTAGACTATTCCTTATGCTGATAATTATGAGTTTAGTTATTTTCACAGTTAATTTGATTTTTGAATTTTTTTCTTGCTAATAGTAGATTAAAAATATATATATTTTTTAATGTACTGTATGTAGGGCCTTATAGCCCTCAATGTTCTGTTAAAATTCAACATCTTTTGTTCTTGCTTTATAGCAAATAATGTACAAAATACATCTGTTCTTGTTATCTTTTGGTGTTTCTAAACATAAGTTTATATGCCAACATTTACAATTATTTCTTATAACTTGCTAGTAGCTTTATAAATTTTGATTAATTTATTATAAATAGGCAAAAAATATAATAAATTTACTGATATCATCATAATTAAAAGCTAGAACAAGTATGTAAGTAAAATATCATTTATTAATTTGCATATTAAAACATAATATAGATATTTATTTTTGCTATACTTTGCATTTCATTTATTTTATTTTACATTAATATAACTCATAAGTATAAAAAACATTTATTAATCAATTATTTTAAATAAGCTACCAAATTTGCAGTAAATTTACCTTTTAATTTATTAATTTAGTTTGCATCAATTACTTTTAAATTAGTTTCAAGCATTATTATTATTATAAAGCAATTCAATTTCATAAATATATTTATTATTAATAAAATATTTTATTTATTTAAATTATTAGTTAATGATTTATAATTAAAAAACCTTAATTTATAATTAAATAAAATTAAAATAACAAATTCTATATAAATATTCTATTAGTATATTATGATTACTTTAGCAAACAGTATGTCATTTCTTTAACTGTGCTATTTATTCAACATATTCTTACTTAAATGATACTTATTTTTTAACTTAATTTTATCTTTACCGAATGAAAGTAACTCAAAAAGTTAAATTCTCCTTTTTTTCATAACATTTATTTATGAACTCATATTTTCGCAGCACTTTTGTTGAACAGTTGTGGCTAAAATCATAAAGAAAAATATTCGAGAGATTTTATTTTTGTTCATTACACTGATTGTTGAATTAACCTATTACAGTTCATAATGTTGGCATAATATTTGATGTTTGAATTAATAACTATAAATAAAGTGATGTCAGAAATATTATTTTTCTATTTTTTTACTTTTATTTTATAAGTTTTATTTGAACTAATATATATCAGGTTTGTAATGCAGCAAAAATCCTTTAAAGTTCATTATATTAGAGTTAGGTTAGGAATTAAAGAAGAATAATTGCATAGTAAAATTGCCCAACAAAAACTTTTTATTAGAGCATCAAAGGCGATTTCTTATGCTGATTTTAAGAAGCAAACAATTTTTAACAAGATAAACATTTTTTTGAATTTTCTTGATCATGATACATTACATCTGATTTTAACATCTGATTCATAGTTTAGAAAATTTGTGCCACAAACCTGACACAAATTCAAGAATTGTTTAACTTACAAAAATATATACAATATACTACAACAGGTCATAATGATATTATTATAGTAGAGGCCTGCATAGGTCAGGCTAAAATTGAAAAAATTTTAAAACATAGTAAAATTGCAAGTCAGGAATTCTAAGAACATAATAAAATGCAGGCCAGCAAAAAAATTATTTTATCAGGTCTGTGCAGGTTTCTATAATACAGTTGTAATGTAATTAGGGTAGCACTGCTACAAAAATGTTTGCATCTCTAAATCTGAATATGTGTTATATCTGTACTATATTTGTGCCATGTCTGTGCCAAGTCTGTGCCATACTTGTACCATATCTGTGCCATACTTGTGCCATGTCTGTGTCATACTTGTGTTATGTCTGTGTCATATTTGTGCCATGTCTGTGCTATACTTGTGCCATGTTTGTATTATGCTTGTGCCATACTTGTGTTATGTTTGTGCCATGTTTGTGTTATACTTGTGCTATATTTGTGTCATACTTATGCCATTTGTGCAATGCT